GGGAATATGTGATGAAGAACGGGCGGTGCAGCGCATGTCTTTGGATCTGACTTGTGGTGAACGAGGTTGTGTTCATGGGCATGGGTGAGCCGCTCGACAACTACCGCGCTGTTCTAGGGGCGCTGAAGGTGCGGTCCGTTCTTGTACGGTTGTCCGTCCAGCGAAAATCACATTGATGCGAATCACCGAAGTGTGGGTCAAGTGGTGCATGTACAACCATAAAACACACAATGGTGGCTCCCCCTACAGTTGCAATTGAAGCAGCACCTCGCCGCTCATGGCCACTTTGATGGCTTGTGATGCAGGCGCAGGATGTTGTAAGCCCGTGGTGCGATGGTAGTGGCAGTTGTGTTCTGGCTGCCGCCGCTGCTGCTGCTGCCGCCGCCGCTGCTGCTGCTACCGTAATCGTAGCAGTTCGTACTGTAGTCCTCGTAAAAGTAGCGACTAGCAGCTCAGCTGTCGTGGCAAGGTGTGGTCGTAGACGTGGCAGCCGTGGGATTTAAGGATAAGTACAGGATAGTACAGGAGTAGTTTAAAGCGATGCCAACGAGTTTGGCATGTCAGGCATTGGCCATCAGCAGCCGTGCATTTGGCCTTGCCTTGAAGCTACTCGGCTTGCTCTGGGCGATAATCAGGAGACTTCGGGCGATGCTCATGGACGTTCATTCTTTTGCCAGGCATAATACATAACCGCCAGTCTGAAATGACGATGGCTTCTAGGTTTGATGGTGCTTCATGATTCATGTTTCGCTGCGCCCGGAGTGTCGAGCGCCTGTGCTCTTCGGTTTTAGACCTTGGACATCTGTGCAGCATGCCGTAACCGCTACCGGGGCTCGAGAAGTTCTTGCATGTTTCGTTTCCCGAGGAATGTGACAGTGTCCACTGTGGGAGTTCCTGGCAAAATCCGCCAGCTGGCTGTTGACTGCCCGGCCGCCAACCTGGCGCTCTCACTGCATGCACCAATGCAGGAGACTCCCTGGCACCTGGAGTGATTGCTTGAGCATCCGCACGCGATTCCATTCCTGTCTTGGACACTTTAGGACCTTCGGAGCACAATCGTGCCGAGTGCAGCCAGCAACCAGCTCGATGCACTTCTGCGCGAGGCACTTGAGCTCAAACGAGGGCGAGAGTGCTACCTAAGCTGGGAACTGCATGTCAACTTCAGCTCCAATGGCATTCCTGCCGCGAGGTGGATGAATACGGTGCCTTGACGGGCAACAAGGTGCGCTGTGTGTTTTCTTCGTCCGGTCTTTCACTGGCCCACCTCTCGCCGATCAGACATTCGCCGCGGCCTATTCGCCATGACCACAAGATGCTTTGGCCACTGCAAAGTTCCTATCAACCCGACACCATTCCAGTCTAGCCTAGACACGATTGCACACTGCCCCACTCTGCGCGCAGGTCATGATGGAGTACATCCTAATCGAGGGTGTGAACACGTCTGCAGAAACGGCGCATGCTTTGGGCTCTTTGCTGGCCCGCCAGCGAGCACTCGTCATGCTCAACCTCATCCCCTACAATCCAACGGCCACTGGGCCAAGGTAAAGGACAACTGAGCGGACATTGAGGTGGAGCAGCATCCGAAAGCCATTATGCTTTTTCTTGCTGCTGTCCGACTTCGAAGTTTCGATCATTGGTGCGTTGACTATCCTTTTTGCATCCTGCTTAGGCGAGTGGTGATGGGAATGGGTACCAAGCGCCGACGGACGTTTCTCGGCTGGCATAGATGCATGGCCACCGTCCGGGGAATATCAAAGATTCGAACCAACGGGGAGCGTCAGTTCGCTGTTCGTCGAAGCTTAAAGATTTCTGTGTTCATAATGTTCCGTATACCGAGACTTCGACACAAATGCTAAAGGGATTCCAATCAGGCTAATAAGTTGATCTTTCGATAATCTGTGCGCCCATACTATCCCATACTCGCATGGGACAGCTCAGGCGGCGTGCAAGGTGTTCCGCAATATTGTTGCGGAGTACCGTCGATGCTCCGATGCGCCAGGAAGTGCCAGTGTCCTGTTCTGCAATAGCTTCCTTGCGCATGGGAAGGTTTGGCATATTCTGTGGTGTGATGTGTTCAGGGCAAGGATGCTAAAGAGGCCCGTCAGGCTATGCTGTTCGGTGCTGCGCTGCCCACGAGGTATCGCAGATGCACAGGCCCGCTGGTCGGGATGTTGGCGGTGGGGACGTGTTTGCAGTGACGGTACATCGCCAACATCGCTACTCTGTCCTGGGCTGGCTCCCGCACCTCCGTATAGTAATTAGTAATAATAGTCATAATAGCCTAATAGCAATAGTAGCAATAATCGTACTACTAGAAATCATGGTAATGGTAATAGCCGCAACACCGAGCCCACACTTCACTGTGCAAGCCTTTTACAGGCGGGCGCTCCGTTGCTGTGCACCATTCGCTGGAGCACTGTACCTGGCCAGGCTGTGGAGACTCGAACGCTGGGTTGCGGTAAGCTCTATAACCGCTTGAGCTAACAACACTAGACATGGGCTCACCAAAGGAAGCTTTCCGGTTTATAACTCTAACATAATACGATATACTGTATATTATAACATACCATAATGTACTCTAATGTACTATAACTAGATTTTGGGGGGCCCCAAGCATTGCATCCGACTTTGCGTTTTTTTTTTTGTGGTGCCTCGGCCGTTCAGCGAAGACACGGGTCAGGCACAATTGGCAGCCTGCGGACAGCTGGCGCTGGAGTCGGCAAAGCCCGCAGCGGACTCAATGGATGATATAATATACTACATCATATAGAGTATAAATATATATATATATATAATAATAATGTACATATATACAACATTACATAAATACACATCTATATGTTATCGGATATTCGGTATAATATGTCATTTATAAATCCATGAATATATTTATGTATGTGTATATATATATATGTATATATATATATATATATATATATCAGTTCGTAGAGCGCGTTGGGAGTTCGGAGCATCTCCGAGTCTCGGAAGCCTCGGAAGACTATACGTTTTGCAGCAAGGCATCGGCATGAAAACCTGCATCGCCTGCGAAATACTACGAAAGCAGCACAGGGATTTCGAGTGACGAAACTGTTCGATCAGCACTGCCTCTTTTCTTACCTTTGGTTAGTAGGGAATGAAGGAATGGGGTACAACTATCAGATCACTACTATTACTACCACTCTTCCATTCCCTACTAACCAAAGGTAAGTCTTTTGGGATCATGTCTCAGGCGAGAAGATCCTTGCGCAGCTTTGGGGATGGAGGATTGGGCGCCGTCTAGAGCCTTTCCTTTCTATTTGCAGCTGATTAATTCTATGCTAGAATGTAGAACTGTCTTGCTTTCAGGGATGATTTGGGTTCACTAGTTTACAAAAGAACAGGTTTGATTCGAGCAGCTGCTGGTCACTGATTCTGATGCAGCTGCAGGCCAAGCCAGCGCAGCTGCACGACATCGAGGACATGCCGCTCGTGAGCATTGCGAGGCCAGCTCAGTAGGTTGCAAGTTCCCGGCTAGGAAATGCAGCATGAAGGACCAGGTTTGGAAGGTTCATTACCTAACAGTGACCAGGGAACAGCAGTTGAAAAAAAGGAAATTAAAAGCTGAATAAAAGCTGAAACAAAGGCGGAAAATAGCTGATCCTGCGTCGACAGAAAAGCTGAACAAAAGCTGAACAAAAGCTGAAAACAAGCTGAAAATGAAGCTACATATGCAAAGGCTGAGCGGCAGAACTCAGCCAGAATTGAACACGGACAGCCTCTTTCATAGCCCTTGCAACCCCAGAAAGAGGATGGAGGGGAGGGGCAGAGTCCCATGTGGGATCCGGGCACGGTGCCCCTTGTGACTTCCTGCTGAGGGAAAGCTGGAAAAAAGCTAAATGAAAGCTGAAAAAAAGCTAGATAAAAGCTGACAAAAAGCTAAACAATGCCGAAAAGAATACTAAGCAAAAGCCACACAGAACTGTGGGAGACTGGAGATTTGTGTCAGATTGCAGCTTTTTAGCTTGCTTCCAGCTGTTATTTAGCTTTTCTTCAGCTTTTATTTAGCTTTTCTTCAGCTTTTATTTAGCTTTTCTTCAGCTTTTATTTAGCTTTTCTTCAGCTTTTATTTAGCTTTTGTTCAGCTTTTTTTTAGCTTTTTTTCAGCTTTTATTTAGCTTTTCCTTAGGGAGAAGCCACGAAGGCCACACCAGACTCCGTTCCGCCCTCCATGCTCGCTTTGGGGCTGCAGCGGCTATGCAAAAGCTACCCAATCTCTATTCTAGCAAAGTCCTGCCTGTCACCTTTGTATATGTAGCTTTACTTCAGCCTGTTTCAGCTTTTGCGTAGCTTTTTCACAACCTTTACCGGGACTTGCTGCATCATGGGATTGCCTTTCGGGCAGCTTTTTTGCAGCTTTTTTTTCAAACCGATAACCAGCTTTCTCTCTTAGCATTGAACGTTCCAAGACCAGGTCGTGTGTTTGAGTCACCTCCTGGTCATGTGTGGCTCGGGCACCCTACAAAGCGCAAGCAGCAGACGGCCCTACTGTGTCATGATGGTCTCCCTGATGAAGGAAAGTGGAGCAAGCGCCACTGCCTCCACTCGTCGATAAGCTTCTGTGGCTGCTGGCTGCAATTTCCGGCACAGGCAGGTGGCAAGTTGCTGTAGAGGCGCAGCAGGATGGGCACTCGGCTTCAAGCGGTATATACTCATAATCTCAGTCCTTACCTGTCTCTTCCAGGCGCGATCTGCTGGATGTTCGTGCGCAGCCACCAAAAGAAGCGTCCTTGTTATGCAGCAGAGCCGGTGTAGCCTTCGCATGATGCAGCGGGGTGTCTGCTTCAATCGCATGCACATTGCCAGCGCTGCATGTCGAGCATGCTTGGGCCCCGCTCACAGGAGATGTCAAAATAAACACAGCGCCGAGTCTGACAACCGACCCAAGCTACCACTCCCAGTTTCTTACGACCCTCCCAGGAGAGGTGCAACACAAAGCTTGAGAGCATGCCAGTGCGACCATC